CGAGAAAAGACTTGCAGTATACTATTGAGTCTGGTAGATAACTTGCATTATGCCATACAGTGAATCATCTAGTACTGTTCAAATATACATAATCCATGCTTACGTTACGGATTTAGCGGTGTATATAGTACTTGTACTTCTGAAAGTGTATGAAGTGCCAGATCTGATTAGATTGCAAGATAGAATAGGGCACTCAGGCCTCGAGACGAAGCCTGACTTACCAAACCAACATTTCAGCTGCACAGAGACCGAATTTATATTGGGTATATGATGCTACAAACTTCCAGAAGCTTATTTCGAGGATTCGCGCTTGCAGAACATTGTTTACGGAAATCAAGCAAGTTAGTGAATATGGGGACACCGGTCACCAATTGTACCACCACCACCAGGGATGATATGAGAAATCAACAGAGCGCCTACCCCTTGAGCTTAGCCCTGCTGGCTAGCTTGTAAATGGATCGCTTGATTCGGGCGTGTCGCTGACACTGTCTTCAATGGACGCGCGCAGATCGGCAGTCAGAAACCCAAGACAGTGCGGCTACACGGGCAACGCCGCTGGCACAGAAGACAGCTGCACTCCCCCCGAGGACCCACTCACACATCCTGAACGTGAACCTTGGCTGCCGCCGCCCACCGCCGCTCACGGTGGCAGCACCCCGCGTTCGAGTGGACGCAGGAAGACCCAGACCTCGACGCCATCGAGCGCAACACTTCTCCCGCGTCGGTATACGGCGAATGCCCGATGGTGTATCGGAAGAACCATCGGGCTAGCCTATCTCGCGGCCCACGAGCAGGACAACGCGCGGCCGAACAGTCGCGACGGCGCCTATACGCAGACGCGAAAGCGTGAACATCCCGATAGATCCCCGGACTCCGTCCTGCGCAAACGGTCGATCCCCGACAGTGCGCAGCGCGGCGCGCGAATAGCGTGCAATGCGCGTAACCTGCAACCTGTCAGGGGGCGGCGCCATGTCGGAGCAGATTGCGAGGGCAACCAGGCTAAGGGGGCCTTCCATTCCGTGCGCGATGCATCGCAGGCGGCGTCACGACGAGGGATAGCCTGCAAGCGCCCATTGCGGGCTTCGTGAACCTTGGGCCGCTTCCGGTATTGGCCCCGCAATTGACGGCTTAGCGCGCGGACTGGTGGGGCAGTCGGGCGGGACACGTCAGAGTGGTCAGCAGTGCAGGAGTGGAACATACCGAAAAAACGGTGCGTGCAAGACGCAGTTCCCTTCGCCTCGCCACTCACCATCTGCCGGATTGTGTTCGCTGCGACACACCAGAACAGGTCATGTGCTGTGGAGCGGGCCTCGCCTCCCATGCGTGGGCTTCCATAACACGGGCTCTTGCCAGCATCGACTACACTCACAACATTCCGTCAGACATTGACAATGCTCGAACTTAACATTCCGTCAACCACGCATGCTTGCAATGACCGTCGCGGGTGCAAGCCTATCTTACACCACCTCGGCGACGATCTTCCCACTGCAGCGACACCTTGGTCAGCCCAGAGCCCCTGAACGCGGTGCCCCCGCTGATAACAAACCGTGGGACTAACCTGTTCTTGTTGTCCTCCATCTCACGGTGGGCTGCCTGTATATCATTCCAGGGGTACACCTGGAATCAGAGCCGCACGGCGTTGATTTATGCCAAATAAAAGTGGCACGAGAGGTTGGACGTGCCTTGTGGATGTAGATCCGCAATGCGCCATCCCCGTTAGCTCCCGTGATGTGGCCCAGAGCGTCACGCTGGAATCTGTTGCCACTTGGCACCGGGTTACGCCTCAATGGAGCAGAGCAATACGCACCTCGTGATCAAGTCTGCAGTATATTCAGGCGAGCGGGAACGAAGCGTGGAGCCCTCGATGCGGAGACGCTTGTACAGGAGTGGACCCAGATCGAACGAGTCGACTAGACCACCTGTTATGATTCGATGTGGTGTCTCGTTCAGTTGAGGTCAGGGCGATTGACTGACCACTAAGCAGTCCAAGCATTGTCATCCTGCCATCCCTTGCAAGGGCATCGATGTTCTTTTGCCAGTGGCTTTGGCCAACGAAGTCAATGATGACGTCCACGCCGTTGCCATTGGTGATTTTCTTGACCTCCTCCGCAAAGTTCTGGGTCTTGTAATTCACGACGTGAGTCGCGCCGCTGGGAATTGACTTGAGCCAATCTAGCTTGTCGGCAGTTGAAGCCGTCGCGGTGACGGTCTTCCTGTGATAGATCAACGCGTCTCAGGCACGAGCATCACAGATCTAACGAGTGAAGACCCACGTGCACATGCCCGGTGGAAACGACGAGAGAGCCCACTGTCAGAGCCATATAGACGGTCAGATAGACAGTCAGATAGACGGTCGTACAGTTGTATAGACGGTCGTAAGCACCCGGGCACTAATGCTATCTGTTCCCTAGTCGCACTCGCCCAGCCTCCTCTCAGAATCACGCATCTTCCGCCACTCTCTATGCAATGCTCTCCGGCTCTGCAAACTGGCTGCCTACCTGCCCGAGCGACAGGGCAATTGTACATATCTCTATGATCCTGCTACACCAGTTTCTTGTCTGAATGTCCTAGGATGCCTCCTTGCTCGTGTTCCCGCCCATCGCACCTTCCTCGCGCGAGCACACTCAAGCCCTGCCCGGGCTATAATATGCCCAAAAGCGGTCAGAAGCGGTTTGTGCGTGAGCTGAATTTCTCCATCATAGCTCACCTGACTCAGAAAGCGTGCTGCTGCCATTTGCCAGCGGAAGAACAAGAGCGAGTCAGCATGCAAGCACGATGTAATGCGAGCAAGACCACATACACTTTCTTAGTGCGAATAACCCCGCCCCATGTGCAGCACTACCGCGTCCAGCACCCCCACGTGTACCCTTGCCATCGGGCCTGTGTGCTCCTCGAGCAACACCACACGCAGGTGGATGTGTGAGTGGATCCAGATCAGTGTTGGTGCGTCCACGTGAACATGCACCATAACGTGCGTGAGCTACGCAGTGTGCATGGCTGCCTGTGTCTTTCTTGGCCTTACCGGTGTCTTCCTTTGCGCCCAAGCTCGTCGCATGGACACACATCCGTGGCCTTCTCCGCACAGTCAAATGTGATCCCGAGCATGGCCTGGTACACATAGCACCAGGCAGCGTTCTCACCCACCTTGCCCGCGCGCAGCTCATGCAGGACGAGGAGCAGCTCCTGGATGAGGTCAGCCAGGTGCATGCCCAGCGCAACATTCCACAGGAGGTCCAGGTACGTGGCAAGGTTGATGCGGGCAAGGTCATCTGCGAGCTACTCGAGGGCTGCGAGGGCCGCAATGCTGAAGTGGGTAGCCAAACGGATGGCTTCACACATGATGGACATGGCGAGGGGCACCATTGTGTCCGGGAGGTCCACAGGGCCCGCGGGCAGGCAGTGCTGGCAGAGCAGAGATGGCGCTCGGGAGACCGCAACTGTTCACATCATGCGCTGATGTACGAGAAGCGATCAGAACACCAGGGACACCTGCATTCATGCAGATCACATGCGTGCCCTGGCAACATTGCAGTGGGTAACATCACCACGATGCCAGGATGCTGGCATACGAGAATGTACATATGCACAGACACGCAACAATGTATGACCAGGTAGTACATGTATTTAATATTGGTCTGTATCTCACACTGTACCAACGCGATTGTAATGCAGTCAATTGCAGGCCTGTACTGCACTTGGCGGCCGCACACAATGATCGGGCAGAGCAGGTAGGTCCCCCACAAATCTTGGTTTCTTGTTTGCATTGTAAGTCGACCATGTAATCAAATCATCTTGTATTAATACATACAGGCACATTCAAGGCACACGGCACGCCTGAGGTGTTGGGGCCTGATGGTAACGACACAGTTTCAGCAAGTTCTCTTGAGCGACGCGTTGCTTGTGTCGTGGGCAGGTGAGTTCCCCGTTGTTTTACCTCGTTGAGAACCATGATGGGATGCATATTTGATGTGTTCCTGATTGCTGATGGCGCGCGCTGACCATTCCGATTCTGCAGCAACGGGCACCTCTCATGC